GATGCCCAGTCAGGTGTGGGAGACGAAAATGCAAATCAACACAAACCTATTTACAGGCAGTATTTTAGTTTATAGGGACTAGTTGGGATCCATCGAAGCAACAGAAGCCTTTCTTGGAGAAGACTGTGTTTACATTGAATCTTGATGGCTAAATGAGTTGGTGAAGCAGAGAAGCAGTAATGTCAAATCCTGGACAGGGTTCTGGGGGATACAAAAATCGGTAAGATTTGATCTCTGTGCCCAGAGATTTCAGTTTTATCTTAGGCGGAGATAGATACATTCTTTAAAAAAGGAATATTGTGCCTCCTGTATGGTAGGCACTCAACTAATATTTGTTAAATAAATGAATGAAAATGTGATAAATACTATGATGGAGATATGTGCAATTTCTTTGGGAACACAAACAGATCAACTAATTCTGCTTGGAATTAGAAGTTACCACATTTGAGCTTGTCCTTGACAGATGAAGTTTGTCTAGCTGGGGAACAGGCATTTCAGGCAGAGACATCAAGTGGTCTTAGGTGGCTAGAGCTGAGGTTCACAGCTGTGAATACCTGAAGCTAAAGGTGGAGAGACAGGTTGGGGCAGGCCACCCTAGTCTCATGAGCCATGCTGGAGTACTAAGACCATATTCTGCAAGGAAATGCAGCCATTACTGGCACAGGCTCCATAAAAGGGGGATGCATCTAGCAGTTACTGTGCCAAGCACTGTTCTAGAATTCTGTAAAAAGAAAGGATGAAGTCCTCGCGCTCATCAGTTTTGCACTCTAGTTTGGGAAACACACAATGGAAAAAACAAAAAAACATTTATAATGCCAGGTACTGATACACATAAAGAAAAATATAGCAGGGTAAGGAGATAGTGAATAATGGGGAGTTATTCTAGATGAAAAGTTTAGGAAAGACTCAGGTAATATTTGAGTAAAGAACTGAATGAAATGTGGAAACATAAATCCAGGTAATTGCCTTTACTAGTCAATTAGATCTGAGTTCTAGTCCCAGCTTTAGCCTTTTCCAGTTGGGTGGTGTTTTAGTCCATTTTGTGTTGCTGTAACAGATATACCCAAGACTGGGTGATTTATAAAGAAGAGAGGTTTACTTGGCTTATGATTCTGGGACAGTTGCATCTGGCACGGGCCTCAGGCTGTTTCTAATCATGGAGAAAAAGGTGGCAGGCAGCCAGCAGGTACAAGCAGATCACATGGTGAGAGGAAGCAAGAAAGAGAGAGAGATGAGGTGCCAGGGTCCTTTAAACAATCAGCTCTTGTGGGAACTAATAGAGCGAGAACTCACTCACTACCCCTCCTCCCCCAGGGAGAGCATTAATCCATTCATGAGGGATCTGCCCCCATGACTCAATCAGTTTCCAACACTGCCACATTGGAGATCAAATTTCCACATGAGTTTTGGAGGGGACAACACATCCAAACTCCATCAGGTGGCCTGGAAAAAATTATTTTAAACTCACTGAGCCTCCAGCTGGCTGTTATATACACAGAAGAACACAGAGCCTCACACAAAATAGGTGCTCAATAAACATGTTATGATTGGGTGAATAACATATTAGTTACCATATTAGTTAGTTATATTTCAGCAAGCATATTATTCTTTTTCCAGTATTATAACCTTACTTCAAATGCCTTAGGGAAATGCTTGGCTGTATTGTTTGAATCTGAATCTGAAAGTTAGTTCTCCTTCCAAATGGTGGTAACTAACATAGCTACCATTTACTGAGTGCCTGTAATGTATCAATGATGGCAGCCACTTTACAAGTATTACAACAACCTTATAGGATACCATTCACACTATATCACCAGGGCCCAGCACAGTGCCTGTCACATAATAGATGTTACATAAATATTTGAATAAAGAAATCTCAGAAGAGTTAGGAAATGTCTCCAAGGTCACAGACAAAAGAAAAGAATTTGAAGAAAAGAATAGAAAAGAATTGAATAGAAAAGAATTTGAAGCTAGGCATGTCTGACAATGAATGAGCCACGCTACCCAAAAGAAAGAAGTGGGTCTTCTTCATTATGAAACCTGTAAGAAAAACCCCAAGGATTTAAGACTGATCATACAAAGCCCAGAGTAGTTAGGCCAGAGCGGGGCCTTAATATGGAGCCAACAGGGAGAAGCCAACTCCAGAATCCTAGTAGCTAGAAGCAGATTTTCAGAAGAGTATCTCGGAGGGAAGAAAGGCATCCTCCAGCAAAACAGTCAATGAAGTAATGAGCAAATCCATAAGCAGCAACTTATGATAAAAGTCTATATACATGTGACATTGTGACCAGATCAAGGAACAGGAACACGGAATGCTTTAAAAAGCATTGGTATAACTTGCACAATGAAAGAAGACAAATCATTTAGGAGGAGGAAGTAATTTGTCTAAATTAGCTACAGAGCAAAATGAATCCATATCAGCCACTCCAACTAATTTTGTTACTTTCATCTCATAAAATATCAAGTTAAGAACACCTCTAGATATTATTGTATTTACCTGGACTTCATGGTCCTAAACTATTATAGCCCAGACTGAGAAAATTAAGACAAGCAGATGACTGGAGGAATGTTTTACTTTCTGAATATTCAAAACATTGCAATACAGTCCTTATAGAGTTGTTGAGAGAACAAGAAGTCTGTAAAGAAACTAGTTGAGCCTTTAGCACATAGCAGCTACTAAATACAGGTTAGTTTTTCCTCTTCCTCAGAAATTTGGGTTGTCTCACCTTTTGGCTATTATGAATAATGCTGCTAGGAACATTTGGATACAAGTTTTTATGTGGACATAGGTTTTCATTTCTCTTGAGTATATACACCTGGGAGAATTGCTGGATCATATGGTAACTCTATGCTTAACCATTTGAGAAACCTCCAGACTTTTTCCAAAGTGGCTGCCCCATTTTACATTCCTACCAGTTGGCTACCAGGTTTCCAATTTCTCCATATCTCATCAACACTTGTTAGGTCTTTTTGACTCTAGTCATCCTTTTGGGTATTAAGTGGTATCTTGTTATGGTTTTGATTTGCATTTTCCTGATGATTATATTGAGAATTTTTTCATGTGCTTATTAGCCATCAGTGTATCTTCTTTGGAGAAATATCTATTCAGATATTTTTTCCATTTTTACATCGTCTTTTTATTATTGAATTGTAAGAGTTCCTTATACAAGTCCCTCCAGATACAAGACTCTTATCACATTTTATGATTTGCAAATATTATCTCCCATTCTGTAGGTCCTCTTCATTTTCTAGATGTTGTTTAAAACAGAAAAAAATGTTTAGTTTTGATAAAGTCCAATTTATGTGTTTTTCTTTTGTTGCCTATGCTATTGTTGTCATAGAAACCCTTGCCTAATCCAAAGTCATAAAGATTTACTTACGTTTTCTTCTAAAAGTTTTATAGTTAGCTCTTACATTTGTCTTTAATCCATTTTGAGTTCACATTTTTATATTGTGTGAGGTAAGGATCAAACTTCATTTTTTTTTTTAATGTGAATATCCCATAGACCCAGCAGCATTTAAATTATCTTGCCACTATGGTTGAAAATTAATTGACCATAAATATGAGAGCATTTTTCTGGGCTCTCAATGCTATCCCACTGATCTATGTTGACCTCTAATTCTATCTTTATGCCAGTACAACATACTCTTCACTACTATAGCTTTATAGTAATTTTTCAAATCAGGAAGGGTGAGTTCTCCAACTTTTTTTCAAGATTGTTTTGGCTATTCTGTGTCCCTTAAATTTCCACATGAATTTCAGAATCAGTTTGTCACTTTCTGCAAAGAAACTAGCTGAAGCTGATGGAAATTGTGTTGACTCTGTAGATAAGTTTGGGGATGATTACCATCTTAAGTCTTCTGATCCATGAACATGAGATATTTTTCCATTTATTTAGGTTTTCTTTAATTTCTTTCAACGTTTTGTAGTTTTAAGAGTATAAATTTTGCACTTCTTTTGATATTTCTTCCAAAGTATTTTATTCTTTTTGATGATGATGTAAATGGAATTGCTTTTTAAATTTCATTTGGTATTATTCACTGTGGGTATTTAGAAATACAATTGATTTTTATATACTGATCTTGAATCTTGCAACACTGCTGAGCACATTATTAGTTTTAACAGTTTTTTAGTGAATCCTTAGGAATTTTGATATACAAGATCGTGTCATCTGCAAATAGAATTTTACATTTTCCTTTCCAATCTCAATGCCTCTCTAGAATTTCTGAGTGTGAGATAAATCAATGCAAAGCTTAAGATTTGGAGTTATTAAAGTCAATATTGTATAGATTCATTTTTAAAACAAAGATAAGGGGGGAAATAGTGCTATGAAGAAAAAGAAAACAGAAAAACCAAAAAACTAGAAGAAAACTGGCTCCCACCACATTATTAATTAGCTGTGTGATCCTGAGAAAGTGTTTAATCCTTTTCTGATTATACATTTAACTTCCCAAGTCTTTTTCCATTTGATATACCTGTAAACTTCTGGGAATACATAAAGAATGACTTTCCTCAGTTTACTTAGCCATTACAACCATGATTTTTACTAAGTATATTGACTATCCTCTCGTTTTCTACTTTTGTCCTTCACAAAAGAGAATAAGCTTACCAAAAGTGGTAAGAGAGAATGTAATTATTGTGAGAGAATGTAATTCTCAGGAAAGGCACAATAGAAGACACTGCAAGAATAAAGAGTTATCTTCTTGGGAAAAGGCCAGAATATAAATAAACACTTTAGAGGCTTTAGAAGAAAGAGTAGAAATGAGCAAATGGATGAAGCATTTACTCAGTCAAGTAGTGTATTAGCATTTTAAAATTATAAGAATAATCAATAAGGATATTAAAATGACAAAAATGTGTTTTAAAAATATACAGTATCTGCAGTTTTCACCACAGAGTATCATCTTTAAAACTGAAGTTTTAGGTAACATTTCTTAATTACAATTTTGATTAAAATGGCAAAAGGTTTCATGATATATAGAACCACCTTAAATTTTTCTACCAAACATTAACTAGACACCTTTCCTCTGCCTCTGCTAATGCTGACAGTACTAGAATAGTAAGTCCTACTAACATAGTTTAAATTTCATTTCAAGTGCTTTGGAACTTTAGCTTTAATCTCTGGCATAAAGGAAGAGGACTATCCAAACAAGAACCAGAGTCGTCTTCTTTCTTATGACATTGTAGAAAACTCAGAGAGCTTTTTGCTGGATCTAGGAAACAGTTTTCTTCATTTCTTACTGTTTTATAAGACTTGACACACTGTTCAGTTCCTTTAATATGTAACTTAGGGTTACTCAATTTGTTGTGGTCACTTTCTTTGAATTGGGTTGGGTTATGCTTCTGAGAACTGTGTTTCATTTTTTGAGTTGTGTACTTAGCTTTCCCAAACACTGGGGCACTTTCTTCATCAGAGGAATGTCTGTCAAGGCAAACACTCTTCTTCACTACAATTTTCTGAGTGGTTTGCACATCAACTTTTCTACTATGACCTATAGCAGTATTTGGTGGCCCAACTCTGACACTGGATGTCTTTAGTACTGGGTTATTGATAGAATAAGGCATAGAAATATTCACTGTATAGTTTTCTGGAAGCAGCTGGTCTCCTTTTATAAGTTTAGAGTTTCTGGATTCATTTTGCAAATGAATTCCTGGAAGATCCTTTGAAAGATATAATGGACAATCAGAACGGCTGTTAGCAATACAAGATTCTTTTACTCTAGGTAGGGACAAAGTTTTCAGGTCAACATCTCGTTGTACATTATCCTGAGGATATGATGATTTTATATGTATTCGTTCCTTTAAAGGCAAATCCTGAAGATATAAATCGGTAATGCCAGAAAGTAGATGCTCTTCAGGACTAATCTTTTGGAGATCACAATCCAACACTTTATTGAAGTCTTTAGTACACCATTCTGATTCAGATGACAAACTTTCTGGGATATTTTTAAAGCTATCAGGGATGGCCAACAGCTCTGATTCAAGTTTTAATTTTAAACCATGAGACAAAGTGTTCCTTTGAATAGCTGGAGAATTACTAAAAGAAGTACCTTCCCAGTCAATGGTGCTCAAGTGTAGATCAGCAATCACAGATATATTATGGGATGACATATTGGGTTGACTGGATTCTGAAATTAGAGACTTACTGACAGCTTTAATTTGCTGTATAGCCAAAGGTCTTGGAGAAGACATTAACTGTTTTTGTGTATTCAAACAGGCACTGTCCTCAAGTAAAAGCAAGCTATTCAATGAGGCAGAAATAGATTCCTGTGGTAATGCAGGATCAGGAGAAATTTCCAAATTTAGCTTGGAATTCTGCTTAGAAAATATTTCACTTGTGGGTTTTAAATTCAGGTGTGACTGAAAACTCATTACATCATCTTCTTCTGGCAAATTGTTTTCTTTAGACTTAATTTTCATACCTGAAAAGAAAAAATAACGGTTAGTGTAATTATTATTATTAACAATTGCTTAAGTTAGTAGACACAGAGCAGAATGGTTTACTCCCGGCTTTTAGCTTTAGAAGAAAGAGTGTGCAGACAAAGAAGCAAGTGTACAATTCTTATTCTTGTTTTTATAGAACTTTCAGCAAAATTTAGAAAAGATAGATTCAAATAGAACAGGTAGCTCTTCTGTAACATTTATGTGTGGCATAAATAGTTATCAAACCTGATACTTACTTTTTTGTTTCTTCCCTTTAATTTCTAACTTTTGTTTTTGGTAAACAGCAACAATCTCGGGATAGGCTGCCTCAAACAATGATCCTTCTTCGATTGTTAACAGAACCAAATCTCCATTTTGTTTATCTTCTACAGCATAATGTTCTAAAAGATTAAAAATACAGTAAAGCAGCCTTAATTATAGATTTGAAAAATTCAACTTTTCTACGTAACTAAGTTTACCAGGTAAACTAAGTCACCTACAAATAGATAATTCATTGCAAACCTTACTTTATAATATCTTTATTCTAATAATCTGTTGATATTATTATAGGATTTATTTTCTTTTGTCTGGCAAGAGCTGGAAGGAGATTCTTTTAAAATTAGAACTTTAAATTCTCTTGCTTCAGAGATGGTAGCAGCAGCTTAGAGAATAGAAAACTTTGTTCAGAGAAGTTTGGTTGGTTTCATTTTAGTCTAGTAAGTCTTAAAATTACAAATAAAGAATGGAATAGACAGTTTCCTAAAACTTCGACATCAGCTTTCTCTACTGATGGCTTCTGAAACAAACAGAATTAAAAGGGTCATCAAAGAGATTACTGTTTTCCAGATTGTTGTATCAGAGGTTATCAATTTCTTGATATACCTAGTCTTACAAGACTCACAAGTAGCTGATAAATGAGAATGTTTATATGTAAATTTACAATAAAATATTAAGTAGTAGATTAGATTCTTGTGTTTATTCTATATGTGGCAAAACTGTATGAGAAGCCAAATTATAAAGAAAATATTGATTAAATTTAAAGCAGAAACAAAGGAAATAGGTCACCTTAAAGTGTTTGTTAGTTAAACTAGCTTGGGATACATTTTCTTGCTAAAGGTTAGCTTCCACAAGGATGAATGAAAGTGGGTGGCTGATTTTCAGTGGTAAACAGAGAAGATGCACTGCCAAACTGGGTTAATATAATTTTCTTTCCTGAAAATAAACTGGTTGGTAGATCTATTCCTAAAATCTTCAAAATTCTTCAGCCTTCTATCTTCCTATTATTGCTAAGAATCATTTACCTAATGCTTTTTCTACTCTCACTCAATCAAATACTGTCATACAATCTAATTTCAAAGCCAAATAGAAATAAACTTGGGATCATTTTCCATTTTAAATTATCTGTGCTTCACTTGCCTCCTGTTTGGAAGCGAACTCAGAGTTCATTGTATCTTTGTAACAACAGTAAGAGTAATGTGATAATTATAAATTCCCGTGAAAACTAAACAGAGAAAAGGAAAGGAAGAGTACCTGAGGTGCTATTCGGCAACCTCAATTTCTTTAGACCTAGCTATACATAAAATCCAATGATCAGACCATTTGCAGAATAATTTTTTTGAGAAATGGAAATCAAAACTATTTTTTTGGTATTATTTTCTTAAACATTACAAAAGAAATGTCAAATAAAGATATTAAAATAAAATCACTTAAAGTTTATCATATTTACTATTAGTCAAAGCCTACTTAAACTGGTAAACTATAAAATTAATCCATGGTGTATGTTGACAGGTTTCTTCTTTGTTTTTTCATACACACATGTGTTTTATATACATATAAACACACAATATTTATATGTATATGGTCAAATGTTTTAAATTAAACAGTTGGCTTAAAGTAAATACATACCAGGCTTTTCCCATTCTATTTCAAAGCAATTAACTCCATTTCTGATTCGGGTCTTAACAATTCTGAAAAAAAAATTCATCTATGAGGTCTAATTGCATGAGTTATTTGGACATTTTCAATTCACAGACTAAATAATTCAGTTTTAATTGATCTTTATTCTAAGAAAAAATATTACTAGTTATTCCTTTGGTTTATTCAAAAGATAATTTTATTGTTAGGTACATACAGTTTATAATTGTTAGATCTTCTCAATAGATTGTTCTCTTCATTATTATGCAGTGTTCTTCTTTTCAATAGTAATGATTTTCGTTTTGAAGTCTATTTTGTTAACATTACTTTGGTAAATAATTGCCTAGTAAATCTTCTTAAATCTCTTTATTTTCAAACTTTGTGTGGTATTATTCTGCACATGCCTAGTAAGCAGACTATTGGTAGATTTGTTTACTTATGCAATATAATCTGTCTTTTAGTAGATGAATTCAATCCACTTACATTTATTGTGATTACTGATATAGATGAACTCATTCATACATCTTATATTGTTTTCTGTTACCATCTTCTTTACAACTCCCCCCTTCCTCCTTCCTGTATTCTTTTGGTTTGATAGTTTTACTTTTCTATTTTAATTGTGCTGGTTTGGAAGATACAGACTGTATTTCTAATGATTACTCTTAAATGTTTAAATGCATACTTATGGAGTTTTAGTTTATTATCTTTCTCCTCCTCCTCCTCATCATCAGGTACTAATCATTAAACATTATGCAAATATTTATATACATAATTTTTTCTAGTCAGTTTATTAAATTAGCCAAATATCAATTTATCAATTTCTGTGGTGACCACTATTTCTTGTAATCCACACCTGCCCTCTGGGTTTAGTTTTTTCTTTGCTGAAGTATATCATTTAACAGTGCTTTTAATGAGGATCTATGAGTGGTAAACTCTCTTAGTCATCATATGTCTAAAAATGCCTTTCCTGTGAATAATGTTCTAATAATTTGTAGGTTTTAATTTGTAGTAAAAAAAATTATTTTTTACTTTGAGATTACTCCATCATCTTCTGGCATCTACTAATGTTATGAAAGATGTGTGCTATCAGATTATCATTCCTTTATAGCTTATCTTTTTTCTTTGATACTTCCCCTCCAAACTTTTTATTTTGAAATTTTTCAAACCTTTAGAAAAGTTGCAAGAATAGTACAATGAATACTCACAGACCTTCATCAAGATTCACCAGTTGTTACATTTTGCCACATTTGCTTTCTCCATTTTTCATCACCCCTAAATATTGCAGTCCACCTATGTAGAGTATTCTCCTACAGTCACAATTCAACTGTCACACTCAGGAAATTTAACATTGATACAATACTATTATCTAATATACAGGCCATATTCAAATTTTCCCAATTGTCCTAAAATAAATGTTCTTTATGGCTTGAAAAAAAAAAAAAAATCCAGAATCCAGTCAGGATCACAACATATTGCCTGCATTGTCATGTCTCTTTAATCTCTTTTAATCCAGAGAAACTTTGTAGCTTTTTTTGTTTTATGACACCCATATTTTTGGACTCCAGGATGGTGGTTCTGCAGAATGCTCTTCACTTTGAATTCATTAGATTGTTTTCTCATAATCAGATTCAGATTAAATCTTTTTGGCAAAAATATTATGTAGATAATGTGGTGTCTTTCTTAGTTTGCCAAATTAGGAGGCACATGTCAGTCTGTTGGCCTACTACTGGTTACTAATCATTTAATTAAGCTGATGTCCACTGGATTTCTCCACTTTTAAAGGTTTGTAATTTTTCCTTTGTAATTAATCTGTGGAGTGAAATTTGAGACTGTGACTATTCTTTTTCTCCAGCAATCTTTCATCCAATGGTTTTAACATCCATTGATGATTCTTGCTTGATTGGTTTGGTATTTTTTAAAATTTTCCTTTTATCCTGATGTTTATGATATGTCTGGTATGGATTTATTTTAATTTATTGTGTTTATACTTGGAGTATAATTAGACCTCAGAACTTGTCGTTCTTAAATTTTGGAAAATTCTAAGATGTCATCTCTTCGGAAATTACTTTTCCACCTTTCCTTCTATTAGCTTCTAGAAAAACATCAAAAACTCTCAAATTATTCCCCACATTAAAACGACTCACATATTTTTTATCTGAGAGTCTTTGAGCTGCCTTCTGTGTGACTTGATTAGCACTGTCTCCCAATTCACTAATTCTTTTTGACCACGTTCAGCCTAGAGTCCCATCAATTGCTTTTCATTTCAATAACTATTTTTCTTGAGATTTCTAACAAATAGTTCACTTTCTATATCCATCCATTTAAAATAATTTCTACTCACTACTGTTTTATAATTTCACCTTCTGTTTTTTATGGATATATCTCTCCATTTATTTCACTGAGCATTCTAAAATTCTGAAAGACCAAAAAACAAAACAAAAACAAAAGCCTTCATCAGACTATATTAAAAACTTTAAATTAGTTGCTGGAATGAATTTATAATCCAATTGTTGATTTTTAAAATATATTTTTTCACATGTTATGTTTGTTTCCTTCTATTCTTTTATAGTTTATCTCTATCCTCACTTTTATCTCTCCAGTCTTTTTTGGGTAATTTCCAGCAGGCTTTCTGGACTTCAGGTATCATTTGGTTAGTTTTTTATCATATATCCCAGCCTCTAATCTACTGATAGGAACAAAGGAATTCCACCTTAGCTACTGGGTTTTAAGCCTGACTCCATCAACATCTTGCCCTTTCGGTCCCTGTTTTTCTTTTACACCCTGCAGGGACTTACCTCCTGGATGATGTTGCTGCTCCCTAATCTAAAGCTCTGCAAAACCGGTTGCAGTTCCCTCACAGACTTTACATTTGTTCCTTTTCTGGTCCGTTGAAATAGTTATCTTATTAAGCCTGGCTGTATTTTTTAAATATTTATTTCTTTTAGATAATTACTACTATGTGTTTGAAGTAGAAAAGTATGTCAAAGCATGAACTTTTTATGTCTTGACTATACACCCTCAATAAGCTTTTAATATTCTAGTCGGCCTTTCCTCCATTTTAAAAAACAAAGAGATATATCCCACTATTAAAGATATTAAGAATATTTTAGATCATAAGATATTCAAATGCAAACACAGAATATTTGTCATAAAATTCTTTCAGTTATACTACCGAATTGGCTGTAGTTGATTAGAGTTCCTTCTACCAAGCTTTCTTTCTATCATGTCATAGCGGGTCAAAAGCACCAACAATTTCTCACATGCATAGTAATTGGGCCACTCCATTTTTTCAAGAGTAAATCTCTGTAAATATAATAAAAATAAAATAAGAATTTTGTTATATCTTGGACACAGATAGTACTCTCAGGTGGTATTATTTTTTCATCCAGAATTAATACTAGTTAAAATAGAATCAATGAGAATATTCTTAGAAAGAACAATGAGCCTCCTAAGGAAGAGGTATTGCATACTGATTAAATGATTAAATATGAGAGTTCTCGGTTTGAATGTCAGTGTGGTATTTCCTAGATGTTGAGTAAGTTACTTAATCTCTGTTAGCCTCAGTTTTTCCATCTGTAAAATGGAGATAACATGAGGGATCTTCAAATAGTTCATGGAAAGATTCATTTTATCTTTTAATTCAATTTTTCCAGAAACTTTCTGAAGTACCCTCATGTAACTCAGCTCATAGATTATGAAGATTAAGTGATATTACATGTAATGTGTTAAATGTAACAGCAAATTTTAAGTGTTCAATAAATGCTGGCTGTCATTATTAATATGGTTGTTGGTGGGGATAAGTAGCAAGTAGTTACAAATATTGAGCCACTCTGTGCCCCTAGCCACTACATTATGGGTTTATATAAAAATCTCATTTAATCCTCATGGTGACTTCATGAAATAAGTAATATTTCTATTTTGAGGATAATACATATCCAGTAGTAAATGAAAGACTGTCCAAATTTAAATTTAGGCCACTAATTTCAAATTACAATGCTTTTGTAAACTATACTGCCTTCCACAGTAATATACTTGATCCTGACATTCTCTGGTTAATTAGCCTCTCTCCTCCCAACATATCCCTGGATATATCTATATATGGTAATTAAAGCATCTTCTAAAGAACAGCATAGTTGTGGTTTGTCTTATAGTCTGCAAAGTATGGCCATTGTGTGGCAAAGGAGTAAAGATTAGAAATAAATGCTGAAAAATATATGGGTAGTCCACAGTTGTCTGTTTTAATTTCTAAACTTCCTATCAGACCAAGCAAAGTGAGTATCTTTATCTCTCCAGTATCTAACTTCATAGTGTAAAGTGAAAATTTATTTTTAAATACCTGAAACAATAACAAATCAGGTCTTTGGTACCTGATTACCTTCACCAATTTATTCTTGTTCAAAAGAAATTCTTGAATAACCTAGCAAGAAAAAATAAATAAATAAATAGAAACTGAGACTTTAAAACTTCTAAAAGTTTCTAAAATAAGCACATAGTTGAATTACTGGTTTATTATTACCTCATGGAATGGGAATCCTTCACAACTGCAAGCTTTTCTGAAAATAAATTACAAACCTTTTACTACTACAATCAGGCAATTTTAGACAGACTCTAAAATCATCTCATCCAACCTCCTCCCATTTAACAGAAAATGGCCATGTGTACAGTATCTCAAGCAGTCATCAAGCTTCTCTTTGAATAACTGTTAAATTACTATTTTCTGAGATAGCCGAATTTTTGAACAGAATCAAGAAAAGGATTTTGTGAAACATGTGACTAATCTAGACATGTGGGGGAAGGTTATGTGAAAATAATTCAACCACGGATGTACATATAGCTCATGCCAGAAAAAAATGAGTCTTTCCAAAAAAAAAAACTTACTTCTTAATATTGTTCTCTACTCCATTTAGTTGCCTATCATGTTCTGTACGGTGCCACTCACAAGGACAGCAGTATTCATAATTGTGTGGTTCACAATATCTATCACTTTTACATAATTTGCACCCATTATGCTCATGATCCTTAGGTGAACCTTTGTGGAGACACAAAGAAGTATCATTTTCACTGCTTTTTAGAATTACCTTCCACATACTTTTATTTTTGCCTTTATCCAAATTTTCAAATACTAATAATGCCTAGCATACAGAAGGGTTTCAATACATTAAGGATGAATAGAGTAGTGGACATTAAAGTAATTCTTAGGACAAAGTAGATCTTGAGTTATTACTACCACATGACATTTTTTAAAAAAAATTACTCTTCCATTTGAAAGCATTAATTTGTAACTTGAAATTACATATTAACAATAATCAATAAGGGGAAACTTTCTGGTTTATGTGGTAGCTTCATGCAAGAAAAGTAGGATGTAATTATTAGCCAAAAAAATTATTTACTTAATAGAAGAATTAGAATGGTTTCTTTAATGAGCATATTAAAAGAATATAGCAATTAATTACCTCTACTAGTGTCTAGTTCTCAGTTACGTGCATAGTTATTTTTAAACTGTGCTTGGAACGTGAACAAATTACAACTGCAGCACAGGTGTGGGGCCCTAGTTCCTTTTAAAAGGAAAGTATGATTACCTTCAAAATTGTTTTGAGAGCATGAAAGAGCAAAGATACTTGATATCACCTAAAATTATCATTTATAAGGTATCAAAAAACTATAGAATGGCATCTTATTTATAAAAATTTATTTTCTTCCATGATTTCACCTATAATTTAACAATGTTAATGAAAACATATTAAGACAAAAAGATAAAGCAGAATTTTTTTAAAGTGATGATTTCCTAATCTCTTTTGAGAGCGACAGCCCTTTCTGATCCAGTACATGTTCAATGAAACCTTTTATTACCAAGACTAATGAGCAAAACAACATTACCTGTTTAATGACATATTTTAGGAAAAATATATATTACTGCTAAAACTTCTACTAAATAAAAGTTAATTTCATTTTTGGCTAAAATTTCACATTAATATAAAAGGATTAAGGCTATGATTAGGTATTAACCATAAAACATAAGTATTTTAAATTATGTCCCTCTACTTACAGAAATTAAAGTTTTTTTTTTTTTTGTCTTTTTTCGTGTCCGGCAACGGATCGCAACCCTCAGTGTCGGCAACCCTCAGTGTTGCGCCCGTACCGGACCGGGACCAGCAACGGGATCGCAACCCTCGGTGTTGCGCCCGCACCTCGCTCAGCCAGTGAGCGGGAAGCGGTCTGTATGTGGGATCCAAACCCTCGGCAGGAGCGCCGCCTCGCTCCCAAGCGGTGCACTGTAGCAGTGCGCCACCGGGCCGGCCCCAGAAATTAGAGTTTTAACAGAGCTAAATTATCTGTTCAGTAAACTGATGTAGTATCTGGTATTTAGAGTTACAATTTAGCTATTGGAATTTCTAACTCATTTATTACAAAGACCAAGTACAAGCTTGCTAAAAATTAGTATTAATTGCTTCTGGATAAATAATAAATAGGGCTTCCAAAATTCAAAATAACTAGGGGAAAAGTCAATCAAAATTAATAAAAGTTAGAATAATAATTATTAAAAGAAATGTAATTTCATTATTTTTAAGTGTTAAGACAAACACTTAAATCAAATATTGCCCAAAATACATATTTGCTGAAACTGTTTCAATAAGAATGGTTTGTAGTTAGCCAGGTACCCTTGCTGGCTTTACCTTCTTTATATTATCTTTCAATTTCCAAATGATTCCTTAACACACTCCCATGCCAAAGTATACCTTTTCTTTCCTGCTTTGGCACAGTAATTACTAATGTCAATAATGGATTTATTGAAGTCTTGTATCTCTCAATAGCTTTACAGCTGAAAGAGCATTACAGGAAAGAATGCAGTGATTTGAAATATTTTTCATGGTCATTCCTTCTTCATTTTTAATACTTAATGTTTATTTTTCGGCACTCACCATCTCAAACATATTGGAGGCCAAGGCAGTTTTAAGTCTCCCAATGTCCTACTTCCTTTTTTTTCTTATTTATGCTACACTTTATTGTCATTAATATTAATTTTCATAAACCACTGCTTTCATCAAGTAAATATAATTCACATGTTTTTAAGGTAGTAAATAGCATAGTTTGTAAACTTCAATGTAATCTCTAACTTAATTGTCTTGAATCCTCAAATTGTAGTGTAAATTAATTAGAATCAATGTATTACTAAATCTGTAGCTACAGAACAAAAGTCAAGTAAAAATTTTGATCAAGTGTTCCTTCTTATTAAATATTTGCTCCCTGTACTGCCAGCTGCCAAAAATAAATAAATGCATACATACATAAATACATAAATATTTGCAACATACCACAGACATTTCACTTATAGAAAGTAAATACAGTAACAAAGTATTAAATACAAAATTACTTTAATGTCATGTTTATCTTTGCTTGGTGGTAAAATAGTCTAAAATAGCCTATGGCAAAATGCCCATGGTTACAAATAAATGCATTTGACATCATTCTAATTGGGTTTAGTGAGCTAATCATATATTTTTAAAAATACAGTATGGCTTAAAGCATATATTCTCATCCTTTCTTTGGAAAACTTCAGAATGAATAAATAAAAATAAATTATTTGAAATGAAAATATATAAATCAACTTAAAAATACAAAATTCATTTTTTGGAACACATAATCCTTTTTGTAATATTCACTATTAAGTTCAACAAGAATAAAAGTCCAGTGTCACAAGAAAAAGTCATTTTTAGTTACCTCTGAAGTAAACTTTGCCCTTTCAAAATCTGTATAAGCTTTAAGGCTTGCTCTTTACCAACTCCAGGGACTCCCTTTCAGAAAGTGGAAAAAAATTCAAATGTTAATCACTAGGGAATGCTTAAATAAAATATGGTACATTAATTCAATGGAAGGTTGTGCAATGAAAGAAAGATGAAGTAACTCTTTATGCAATGATAGGAAATAATGTGCAAGATACATTGCTATGTGTAAAATTAAAATTATACAATAGTGTATGGTATGATCTGGATTTGTAAATTAAATTACAGTTACATTGGTTTATACAAACAAAACATTCAAGAAGATAACATACCAAACCACTGTTTCTTTTAGGGGAGGGAGGGACATAATTTTAGAGGGCTTTCACTTTTTAATTTGACCTAACTTTATTTTATATTTGTAATCAGGAAAAACCAAATTCGTTTAACTATATGAACATTTAATATTTAAAGACCCAGACATCAAAAGAGAACAAAAGAGAGTTCCAAGTAAACTCTTGAAATTAAAAAATTAAAATAATTAAAACAACCGTGGATTTCCAACACACAAAAATTAAGTACTAAACGTATATTCATGTTACAATTTCTGTTTTAAATGGAGTCTTCTAGCTCCTATAAAAGTTTATGAATATGTCCTTATAAGCAGGGCTGCTATTTAGCCAGTATGAACTAGGATAGACATACTAGTGTTAAGATACTTCCAAACTGCTTAGTAAATAGCTACTGTCCAAGCATCCTGAATACCTGCTTGCACAGAGGTCTCCCCTCTAACCTGAATGCCCCCAACTCACCTGTACTCATGATCCAGCTACTAAAAAGCTGGTCTATGGCACAGCAGAGGGCATCCAGAAGTCTGTTCCATCTCTGCAGCCTATGTCTTTGGCAAACTAGTTGTTAGATATTTTGAACATCACCCTTCTTGTATTAGCATTTAGCTACATCTTAAATTTTCTGAAGGCAAATCAGGTTAGTACACAATCTTAAAAATCTTTAAGTAGAACAATATAAATAAATAGCAGTTTTCATTACAAAAAATACAAAAAGTCAAAATAGCTAAGGCTAATATATAACATAAAAACTACTGTAGCTAAAGTTGGTTTCTGTGAGTTCAAGTTAGCAATTTTTTTCTTAAATTCAACATTGTGCTGTTTCTAGATTTTAATTATGATATAATTACATATGGGAAATAGGGGTCCTCCATTTCAGAAGGAGAATTACAATGAAATAATGGTTTGTATATGTAAAAGTTTCTTTCCTCTTGCTTTCTTTTCTCACCAGTGTAAAAAAAAAAAAAATGTTAATTTCTCTACTTGGCAACTGATGACGATATAAATTAGAAAATAGGGTTAATAATTTTACTACCCTGCTATTCTTCCTTTCTCTTAAGCTCAGGTGAAAAAAAATTATATGCCATTCTTTATACTTCTCTTGGGAAGAGAGTTAAAATGAGGGATTTGTAATGATACAGAGATGAGCAGCAGGGACATAATGATGACACTACATAGTAAGACCCATAATACTATGATTTTATATTTTTAAACATCATATTTAAGAAAATGAGGTTATTCTCATTTTTCCTATTTCAATCACTCATCTATTATACCTATCTGTTACAAAGTACTATATCCTGCATTTTAAGGAATAAATAAAATGTTTTAATGAATAAAATCTAAATGCAATGCTGACAGGCATGGCAGTATGAATGGCTTACCCCAATAATTGTGTTGCTTAGCAACGGTAATAACATTGAGCATGTGCACAACTGGTAAGCTACAATGGATACTGAAAACTAAAAAACATGATAAAAACTAACATTGGCATGATACAAGAAAAGAGTAATTCCTGTATTTCTTTAAGAGGGTAGTCAAACTTGAATGTCAATCTCTTAGTCTAGAATAATGGTTTACTGAATCAAGCTGTGGTACTACTTATTCTATTCACATTCATATCATTCAGCATTACAAGTCAGCTGTTTAACACCACCTGAAATGCTGATTATTTTAGTTATGGAACAGCTTATTATACCTAAAATTATATTTTAAATGAGATTCTTAATCCTATAATCGTATTATACTTATGTTTATACAGCATATAAGATACCAAGAAGACATTATGAGTAGTAAATAAATGTGAGAATTTCAGTTTACCTTCGGAAGATAATCACAGCCAAGAAGTATCGCTAGTCCAACCAGAGCATCTCTATCCAAACCTAGTTTGCTCTTGATAGATGACATTGTATAACAGTCCACATGTGGGTCCTAAAGAAAGCACAGTTCAGTTTAATCTTCAAAAAGTAAATACTTAAATATTAAACAACAATACAAAAAATAATTTGTCAAAATTATTTTTAAATGTTTAAAATTATTCCTAAAAATATAAATAGGAAAATTATCCTAATCACAGAATCTTCAGAATCCGACACTTTATTATATTGAAATAAAGTCACAGTTTCAAAATGGCTTAAAGATAAACTATAGTAGTCAATTTTTTCCTCTTTGTTGCTTTTTGGTATCTAAAAAAGTACATTTCCATTTTACAAAATTAAACACTATAAACTATATTCTACAGAAAGTAAACATTCCCTGTAATTGCACTGAAATTACAGTTAACTATTAAAGTTAACTAATAAAGTTAACTATTATTAATTGCTTGGTGTATATTCGTCCAAAAAACATTTTCCTTGACATATATACTAATATTTACTACTAATTATATTTTTAAGTAAAAGTAGAATTATATGAAAACACTATTTTGCAAGTTTTTCCCCACTAATATGGTACATACAATTTCTAATGACTACTTAGTGTTACATCATATAGACTCTGAGACAATGTTTCTCAATGGGGGCACTATTAGCATTTTGGGAGGAATAAGAGAATTGTCTGACAGGAGGTTTAGCTTGCCTGACCCCAACCTACCAAGTGTCCCTTGCCAAACCCTGAATTTTCACAACAAAATTGCTCCCTGGCATTATCTCTTCGGCTGAGAACCACAACTATAAATATGTATACATTCCCCTATAAATGAGTATTTGGGTTGTTTGCCAAATTTTTGTCATTATTAGCAATGCTACAATGAACATTTTTGTATTATCACTCCTTGTATATTTGGAGGTATTTTTGAGGATGAAATACTAAAACTGGACAATCTGGGTCAAAGGAATACATTTAAAAGGCAATTTTGTGATATATTATTGAAACTGATTTATATTTAAACCATGTGAAATAAGCCAAGCCCTTAGGAGAGAAATCCACATTTTGAAGAGAATGAACTATGTGGCAATGATATTTTTAGTAATACTAAATATTTTATTTAGCAATTGCCAGGCATTATGGTAAGCATTTTACATGTATTATTTCATTGAATCAGCCTTTTAAAAAAGGTAATTTGTAAACAAATGCTGAAAAAGAGAAAAAAAATACCTTTGTATTCATAGTGAAATTCCTGTAAACAGTTTGGGCCCCATAAAGGAAAGCATCTCCATCATTGGTGAGGCAGCCATCTACATAACCACCAGCATTCAGGAAAGCACACATGGCTTCAGCTTCCCCAGCAGCTTGAACCCAGGGGATTCCCAAACATTCTAGCATATCCAGGCACTGACAATAAAAAATAAATGCAAGAAATTAAAGAATGTTTTTACTTCTAATTTCCTCAGTGTTTAACTTACTTCGATATTCCAAATATTAATAGTAACTACTAAGGTGTTTTAAAAAAATGATGATATTTAAGAAGCACTTGGAAATTTAAACAATGACTGTATTGGGGAATATTGACTATGATGGGAAAAAGAGGACATTTACTTGTAGTTTCTAGAGACTGGTAGAATAAATATCTCTTGCATTGATTGATTAATCACTTTGCATGCTATATTACATAATAAAAACCTCTGCCAGATGTTGCCCAAGATAGACAAGGTTCAAAAAGACAAAGTACTGTGTTAAAAAAAAAAAAATTACTTTTCAAGACTCTGGCCAGGAAACTAGGGGGACAATTTTGTTATGGGGCTGCTTCTACCTGACCCCTAGATAAGAACTATCCTTTCGCAATAAACAAAGTTATTTCAGTTTCAGTTTCCGGTGCCATTTGTCATTGCAACTCTTTTCAAAGAACCAGTAAAGAATTGAGGGTGGCTGTGATTTTTCCTACCCTATGTCTCTGTCATGTGGGGTAGAAGTGCTGTTGGAGGAGGACTAATTTGTGCTTTTCAGGCTTATACCTAAAAGATGGAAGTGGATTAGGAGAAAATAGGGCCTAGTAACTGAGAATACAGAAATATGAAAATGAATAATAGATGAGCAAACACAAACTGACACAAAATGCCTAAGAACACCATAATTACTTCAGTAAAGAAATAGGAATGGAGCATTTTTATCAAGAAGAGATGAACATCTTTTTTGCTTTATGCTGGGTATTTAATGCCCTAAGTATGAGGATGATGGATATTTACAGGAACTAAATAATACAATAAATAATTTGAATTCAGTACAGATATTTTCTTCAACTACTGATAGTCATTAGGTGAAATATTCAATAATTAAAAACTATTTTTTAAAAAAATCACATAAAGATAGAAAACAGCCAAAATTTCAGAAGAGAAGAAAGATGATTATTACTTTATGCAATGCCTTTTTAAAAAAATGTAATTTTCAGTCAAAATTAAAAAAACCAGGAAAACAAATTCTTATTTTTTAAAAAAATCACATAAAGATAGAAAACAGCCAAAATTTCAGAAGAGAGGAAAGATGATTATTACTTTATTCAATGCCTTTTTAAAAAAATGTAATTTTCAGTCAAAATTAAAAAAACCAGGAAAACAAATTCAAAGCAGATAATGATAAAAGGTTATATCCTTAATATACAAAGAACCTGCACAAAAGAAAAAATTAAAACCTGAAGAGATTAGTAGGTAATGGATATAATGGACATTATGTAAAGAGAGACTAGAAATAGGTGAAATGTTTAACCTCACCATTACAAGACCAATACACATTAAATGAAATATCTTCATTTTTGCATACTAAATGGTAAGTACAAATATAAACATCTTAACATCCAACATTCTTATTGATACACTGAAATTGTTTATCTCACATCTGTACTGGTAGAATGTAATTGGCAAGAACTATAAAATCATTCCAATACTTTGGTCTATCAATCCCACTATGGGTAATTTTCTTTAAAATCCCAAATCATAAGAAAAAGCTATATAGACAAAAAGTGTCCACCATAATTTCTTGTATAATAGACACAAAATAAAAAGCAAACACTATATACAATCATGGGAATGATTCATAGCTTCATACATGTTGCACAACAATTACGAGTTACTATTTTGAATAGAATGTGGCAACAGGGAAATACGGGAATAAAATGTTAAGTGACAAGCCCACAATAAAAATTATTTGTACACTATTACAACTCTTCAAAACTATATACATTTGAAAAGAGACAAACAAAATAATAACTTCCTATTGTTTTAATTATACATTACATTTTATTACAGGTGATTTGTCTTCTTAACTTTTATAAAAATATAAAATATAACAATATTACAAGTAATGTATAAATAATACATTATAATATAACAATAATTACTTTTTAAAATTACAAGCCCAGGGCTGGCCAGTAGCTCACATGGTAGAGCATAATTCTGATAACACCAAGGCAAAGGGTTTGGATCCCAGTACCAGCCAGGCACCAAATAAAGAAAAAAAAAAAAAGAAAAAAATTACAAGCCCTAAGAAAAGCCAAGTATGTATTCTGTATATGAATTATCATAAATTTTGGATGAGTAAAGTACAAATTAATGAGATCTCATGTATTCTGGGATTCTTTAAGTACTGAAGATGTTATAAAAGATAACGTGATCAAGTCCCTTTTAGGTACTAGTTGCTTTAGATATATTGTCTCTAATATTTATCACATCCCTGCAAGGGGTGTGATATTATAAATACCGTCCTCATTTCACAGGGTAGGAAATGAGGTAGAGACAGGATAAACATCTTGCCCAGTGTTTCAGAATTTCTAAGTGCCAGTGTCAGGACTTGAACTGAGATCAGTTTCACTCTAAATCATAAACATAAATCCTTTTCTCTATTCACATTGGCCTTCTATTCACAGTAAAGTTAATGAGCATTAAAGATAAACTTTATTAGAATAAAATGTACTCTCTAATTCAGAATTATTGTATCAAATCTGAATGCTCACCTCTTTTAAGACTGATTTAAAATGTGATCTCCCTGTTCTCTGAGACCATATTTTTCCAGAGGATCCATATCGAATCTGATTCCTCTTGCTTATGACATCAGCTTTTAGTTTTGGTGGTTCTCCTTCCATGACGAACACCAGTTTTACATCCATTTGTATTAAATATGAAATACGAAAAAATAAGTTTCTGAAATATATAAAAATATATAAAATAGTTATATATTAATCATCATATATTGATAGCAAAAATCAAAATAGCAGTATGACATAAAAGCAAGAACATTAGACTCCTATCAAAAGTATTATATGCATTTATATGTCCAGGTTAGCATAGACTGAGGTAGTGCCTCTGGGCATTGAGAGAAGTCTGTGAACACAAAGTATATCTTGGAAATAAGACTGGCAAGACTTACTAATGGACTGGATATGGGGGAGAAGGTAAATCAGGGAGACAATGTCTCCCAAATTGCTGGCTTTTCGTAACTGAAGCATCCTAGTGGATATGTTAAGTAGGAGATAGATATGTGAGTCTGTAGCTCAAAGGGTAAGAGGTACAAATCTGCAAGTCATCAATATAAAGATGGCAGATTTAGATATGTTACATATATTTTAAAATCTCAAAATGTAAAACAACAACAACAACAAAATGAAGTTGAAACAAAACCAAGACACAAAGACTACTTATACAATCATACATTTATATTCTAAAAACTTTCACCATACCTGAGGTGGGGCTTCATGACGGTTCCAATCATCTTTTTGACTGTTTGTGCCTCACACACCCAGAGACTCAGATCAACTGCAATGGTTTTCCCACCAAGTTTATGTAAGTGGATGTGTTGCTTAACAGGCTCCAAAATTTGCCACAAGTCATTCACTCCCATTCTGGTGATTATTTGCTGTTATTTGAAATACATTTTTTAAAAAATTGTTGAAAGAAATAGAAGCTCAGAACAGGAAATCAGACAATATATTATGAGCTAGTTCAGGATAATTCATAAATACAAGATTCTCATTTCTTCCATTACTTTTCAAAATGAATCAAGATGACCTGAAACATGAAAAGTCCAGCTAAAAACAAGAGCTAACTAATGCAGACATGAGTAGAAAATACAGTGACGCCGTAAATCAGTTTTGTCTATTTGAGAATTCACTCTTTCACTTGCATACCTAATGAGAGAATGGGACTAGCATACAATGATAATCAGGAAAAACAAAACACAAAATAAAAGAAGCATGCAAAGGGAGTTCTGGTCAAGATGGCAGAATAGAGGGTCCTCAGCATCACTCTCTCCCACAAATCAACCAATTTACAACTATATAAATGTAACATCAGCCAAGCTGGGGCCGCTGGAGCTCAAGTGAAGAGGAGGAGAGACCTACGGAGTGCCTGAAGGTGAGAGAAACCATGATGAGAGAAAGAAAAAACTGCTTGGACAGTTCTGGGCCCTGGCCGCTTTAAGGCTCCAGCTGCTGAGCACATGGAGTAGGCACCAGCAGAAGCTACAGCTGTACCCTTCAGATGGAGTTACTTGGAGATGGCAGCGGAAGAAAGAGCCTTGGTGGCCAGGACAGCAAGACCACTAATAGGGTTCCCGTGGACCCACGCAGGAGTGAGGAGCTAGAACAGCTGTAAATGGAGCCATTCAGAGGCCAGTGAGTCATCGCAAGGGACCAGTGCAGGGCCTGCCCCATGGGAAGTGTTTGGAGCATGGGCAGCAGGGGAGATGGGCCCACCAGAACACTAGGTCACAGCAAGGACAGCCGATCCGCTCCCCAATCAGCAAAGGACCACTCAAGAGACTGGTCAGGAATGCAGAATTGCATGGGGTGCAGTTTGATGAAAAAACTCAGGCCCAGATCAGAGTTTCTACACAGCCCAGGTGTACCTGGTCTCTGGAGAGCCAGAAGTACCTATAAGGTTGTCCATTAAACCCTGAGCTGCACAAAAGCTTTCCCTAGGGAAACAGCAGCAAAGCAGCAATTTAGCTCCACCACAGAGCTCAAGTGCAGTTCAGGAAAGAATTACTCTTCAAAATATATCTCTTTATGTTGTTTCATTTTTTAAATAACCATATGCATGTATTACTTTTCAGATTAAAAATTTTATGTTTAAAAAATATGGTATCTGTAAGGAGTTGGAGAAATAAACTAGAAATCTTTAGATGGCTTGCTTCTTGCCTAAAGTGACCAAATATGTATAGAATTCATAGGTCAAATTAAAAAGCAATGTTCTGCAAATTTATAAGTACCTGAATATTAAATATGACTTCAGTATGTCTTTTCGAAGGAAGAGAGATTTCCTTCAGATGACCTAGGAACTAGTCTTATGATCTTGGGCAAGGCATATCTTTTCTCTGGCCCTTTCAGCTCTAAGGTTCAATCCTTCCTTTCATGTTTCTAATGTTTCATTACGTAAGTTGAGTACATGTATATAAATGAATAGTAATAAATACTGTGATCTAGTGCAGTGTTGTTTATGATGGCACACACAAAAACACGTAATGCGTATAGGACTATGTTGTAAACTATTCCTTCTGAGGGTTGTGGTAAAAAAAAATTAGAGAAATACTGATGAGATACTGATGATTTTACAAATTGTAGTCCTCTCAATATTTCATGCATATTAGGATCATTCTGTAAAGACTTTAAAGGAATATATTATTCACTGGGGGCAGCTGTGCTTGGAAAAAAATAAATCCAGAAGTGATTATATTTTTATATAATAAATTTCCTACAGAATGGATCCCTTAAGATAAAGAGGGCTTTTAACTAAGCCCATTAATAATATCTCTAATATCTCTAACATAATTATTACACTTAAAATTTAATTTTTTATATTACTTTCATTTCTTTTGTCAAAATTAAACCTGGTTTAAAAAATGAGTAACCAGGGCCGGCCCCGTGGCGCAGCGACGCTCCCGCCGCGGGTTTGGATCCTATATAGGAATGGCCTGAGCACGGTGTGGGCGACACCACACCAAGGGTTGCGATCCCCTTACCGGTCACGAAAAAGACAAAAAAAAAAAAAAATGAGTAACCATGAGTAACAATGGTAGTTAAACAGATATCCACAATGTCAACCTAGGACATCTGTTTTGGCTATACTTTTAAAATGTAAGTAAAGACTAAAAACTGAAGTAATGGCAAACACAACTGGTAGGAGCAACAAAGGCAAAAAAAAAAAAAAAAATCAGTAATAGAATTACCTGTTGGTTCTCAGAAAGTAAAACTTCAGTTACTATCTCTGTGCTAAAGTCTTCTCTTCTCTGCTTTCCCTTAGTTACGTGACATTTTCTAGAAAAATGTTTCTTCCATTGCTAATCTGTCTGGTCACCATATTCTTTAATCTATCTCAAAGCCTTTTAAACCACTTTGGTTCTTTAACCTACAGTCCGCATATATCTTCTGAAATGGATTTGAGAAAGAATAGAGCCTTTCTTTTGCTCCCGTATAGCACATTCCAATAAAGAAGTAATGCTCTGCTGTCTCCTTCATAAGCAAGAAAAAATTGCTATCATGGAATATGCTTATTTTCCAACTTTTTTCTTTTCTTTTTTTATAAAAGATGACTGGTAAGGGGATCTTAACCCTTGACTTGGTGTTGTCAGCACCACGCTCACCCAGTGAGCTAACCGGCCATCCCTATATGGGATCTGAACTTGTGGCCTTGGTGTTATCAGCACCACACTCTCCCGAGTGAGCCACAGGCCGGCCCCCACCTTTTTTTCTCTGATAGGAATCAAGGGGACATTTCTATAGGAGCTATCCTCTCTATTACACACCCCAATGAATCTTTTTTCTCCTTAGTAACTAATCATTAATTAATTTCTATCAGATCTTCTTGAATTACTGCAAGACTTTATATAGCCTTCACTACTTTTAAGTAAAACATAATGGATAAGAACTGTGCCAACCAACAATATTTAAAGGACTAGGGATAGGCATGGGAATCCGAACTTTCCTTCACTCTCCTGTCTTTAATATTATTTACTCCACATCATCTGACATCGCCCCTCAGCTCCTGACTAGAATATCTAATTGCCTACTTATCTTCACATGAATGCATAACAGATGCGCCTAATTTGATTCCACTCCCTCTCCTCAAAACTGTTCCACCCCTAGTCTATCCTAGATACTCAGTTGCTTAGGCCAAAAACTTAGCAGTTATTCTTGATTCTTCTCTTGTTGCTCCCCAACAGTAAATTGATCAGTAAGTCCTCTGTCTCCAAAATACATCCTAAATCCCCATCTGTAATGATACTCTCCTAGTGTTCCCTGTATTCAACAGCAATAGTCTCTTAACTGGCCTCCCTGCTTCCTCTTTTTACTACCCGCCCCATCCCCCACTCCCATATAGTCATTCTCCCCACACTAGCCAGAGTGATCTTATTTAAAAATCTTAAACATATTAAAATCATCATCTTTATGGTAATGGATACTAAATTTCCTTGCAGGTGGCACAACTTTCTGTTACAAATTTAATTTTCTTCATTTATGGTGGCTATTTATAAACAGTCATAAAATGCAAAAAGTGTTAATGTGAACTTATGTGTAGTCATTCTCCCCACACTAGCCAGAGTGATCTTATTTAAAAATCTTAAACATATTAAAATTATCATCTTTATGGTAATGGATACTAAATTTCCTTGCAGGTGGCACAACTTTCTGTTACAAATTTAATTTTCTTAATTTATGGTGGCTATTTATAAACAGTCATAAAATGCAAAAAGTGTTAATGTGAACTTATGTGTTCTAAATGTAATGCATTTTTTTTCCCAATTACTACTTTAGAATTATCTTCAATGAGATCTACAACCTAAGTTTTAAAATACATGCTCTTTTTGAAGACCACTCATAAAAGTAGAATAATATTAAAAGAATACCTCGATAGTTCTGAAAGAGGAAAATTATGTGAAATGTCTGTTTTATTAAAAAAAGAAGACCATAATTTGTTTAAAGAATGTAGTTAATCAAAAATCTCTAGGAATTCCCATCACCTACAAGTATTGTTTTCTGTTCCTTGTCACATGTCAGCTGTTCCTCTGAAGTGATATTAAGTAGCAATGGTTAAGATAGTAAAAGCATATAAAGTTCCAAAAGGGAAAGAATGCAACAGATTTTAAAATAATGAAGTACAACTGCACTGAAAGACAGAACAGATGGTTCTTGCTTAAGGTCATAAAAAACCTGATGAGGTTACTTGAAAGTAGCTCAGCATTAAGTAAAATTTAGAAATCCTGTTCATATCAACCCCACCAAAAACTGTTTTTTAATAGGGTAAAATTTGAAATTTTTGTGGGGTAGGCATTGGGGGTAGGCATGGGAATTAGAACTTTTCTTCTTGGGATTTGGTGAATACCTACTCAAGTCTTTCATAATGTAATAATTTTATTGATGTCAATCTGATCACACAATCAATATATAGTACATATATATATTACATATTCACAATTCTTGAATTAGTTTTGACACAAGAATATTTATAGATATCAACAAAATCAGAACTACACATAGAAAGTTTTTAACCTGTAAATGACTCCAATTTATTTAGCTTACTTATGTCAATCAACAAAGTCAGAACACATAGCAAACAACTTTACAACCTATGAGTGACTTCAATACATTTAGTTTAGCGAATGAAGCACTGGACTTGAGATAGAAAGCATAGGATTTTGATCGTGGATATACCACTAACTAGATATATGACCTTGGGAAGACATTTAACCTTTCTACAACATGAGAGGTATTAAACCAGATGAATTACAAGATTGTAATATCCTTTGAATCACATGACCAATTTTGGAATAAAAAAAAAAAAAAACTCATCCTATTTTAGAAATTATTGCTTGGTAGAAAGAACATAAATTGCCAGCTTAAAGAA